CGGCCGCTCGCCAGGCTTTCCCCGCTGCCAGAAGGAAGGGCGGTTCTTGACCCACGCCCGGTTGCCGTGAGGAGCTGCTCAAAAGCCTCTGCAGAAATGCATCCAAACGGAGGGGAGCAGAAGCCCCGTGTGACTGGGCAGCTCCCGAAGGGCGGTCAGAAGCGCAGCAAATGAGGGGTGGGAGGGGGCGCAGGACGTGCCTCCAGCCCCCTGCTCAAAGCAGGACCAGCCCCAACCAGATCATCCCAACCCAGGCTTTTTAAAACCCGCCTAGACAAACCTCCAAGGCTGGAGTTTCCACCACCTCTCTGGGTAACTTGTTCCAGTACCTGACTACCCTCCTCCTGAGAGTTTTTCCCTACCATCTAACCTCAACTTCCCTTGCTGCAACTTGAGACCGTTGCTCCTTGTCTGTCATCTGCCACCACTGAGAACAGACTAGCTCCATCCCCTTTGGAGCCACCCTTCAGGTAGCTGAAGGCTGATATTAAATCCCCGTCTTCTCTTCTCCAGAATAAATAAACCCGGTTCCCTCAGCCTCTCCTCCTAAGTAAGCGAGGCAGAACTCAATTGTTATTTTTTAATATTTTCGACAGCTAAAATAAACACTTTTAAAGCATTTCTTTCAGTGGTGACGCATAGGGGTTGTCTGAGGGTTGGGTTTGGCCATGGGGGGACCCCCCCTCCTCAGTTGCTGACAGGACACGTCCCCCTTGACTAAGATGACATCAGTCGCCCATGATTTCTTTTGATTTTTATGGATTTAATTTTTCAGGGTTGTGTGAAATGACTAAATTATCTGCCGCCCATGCCTAATGACAACATACTGTTAAAAGCTTTATAAAATCACATTAAAATATAAAAAGCAAATATCCATAAATCAGTACAGTATACCTGCTTTAAATCATTCTGTTCATTTGGTAGTACATTCATAGAAGTGAAAAAATTAATAAATTTTAAAAAGTTTTTTGTTAGTTATTGGAATGCATAATTTGCTAGATCCAGCAGACTAATCCAGATTTCAAAAGCTTTCCAAATTTAAATCTATGTCTTTATTGTAGTACAAAAAAGTTGGGATGTTCAAGTCAGTCTTCAGAGAGGCGCATGCAATATTGTCTTGAACTTTTCTGAACAAACTAAATAATCTTTCTGCAAACACTGAGATTGCTGGCACTGTGAGTGCACATAATGCCACATGGGCCATGACAGGCAGTAAATGGGTCTCACTTTTCCAATAATCAAGTACTGTTGTGTTGCTATAATGGCATTTCACATGCCACGGGCAAGTCAAAGTTATACTTGAACTCGTCAGCCTTGCAAGTGAAAACACACACAATATTTTCAGTCACTATAACTGTGTGACATCTGAGCCTCGATAAATGGGTCAAACACTTCACAGTAAGCAAAGGCAGATCCCAATCCATAAGGTGTCTGGTACACTGTAGGATAGGATTGCCTTCAGTTTGCTTTGAAATTGTGAAGCAAATCATTCATTGCAGATGAAAGGGGTGGCTATCTATAGCCCACTGTCCCCTAGTTCTTCTTTCAAAGCATTATTTATATCAGCATTAACTTGTCGATTGCAGTTAAGCAGAGAGTTAATGTGATGTATCAGGGGTGCATTTGTTTCCATTTGCAAATGAACAATATGGTTCCCCAAAACCACATGAGCAAAAGATACCTTGCAGTACAGTTCTCATTGGTTTCCATTTTCCTTGACCATCCCGCATAGTTTTGTTTTCTTTATTTACATCTGGTTGTTTAGTAAGAAAGTCTGTCATGCTGTTCCAATAGGCATGAATGTATTTTGCTGCAGCAAGCCAGGAAAACTAGTGAGGTTGCACAATGGGGAAGAGGGGGGGGCACATGCAAATCCAATGGACTTTTGTTGTTTCTGGCACAGACTTATAAAAAATGGTCACATTTGCTTGTCGACATGTTTAAATATTCCTAGAAAAGGTACCACAAATCCATTAATGTTGTGGAACTTGTTTGTTTTTAATACATGATCAATGGCCACATGCAAAAGATGAGCAATGCACATAGAATGTGCAGTTACTGCAGTAGATGTGGAGGCATTTCTTTCAAGTCCTTCACAAGGTATTTGCATGTATATTGTGGAGTCACTGTTGATTGTCACACAGTTTTCTCACATTTGGCTGTACTCTCTCAACACATCTTGAATCCAAACTGAGATGATCCCTGCATTGCACTGAAGAACAGAGGATTTTAACTGAATTTTATTTACAGACTTATTTTTATCACAGTAGAACACTGCAAGGGTGTTAGTTGCTGGCTGTCCTGCAAGCTCAGGGGTTTCTTCAATTACTAAAGAAAATTTCTCATCACTCAAAAGTTCCTTAATCCCTGGTTGGCGGTGGGTGCAAACTTCAGATAAGTATTTTTCTTCCAGCTGACAACATTCTGGGCAAGTACAATGTGCTGGTGTATATTTGTGAAGCAGAGCAAATAAATAGCTTGAACCCTGGGCCATATTAATACAAAAAGCACAACATGCATACCAGATCGTGAAGGAAATCCGCTGCTTCTTCCTTCCGTTGTCTCATTCTTCCCAAACAGGCTTCCATCGTAACCCGTGTTGTTTTTGTTTGACTTGCTTTTAATTTCAAATGAGTCCTGTTGTTCAAGTGTTCAAAAACGTGATTTGCCTGTTGGGCAACTTCTTTCTTACAAACCCCATACCAAGCAGCCTGTGGCCCTGTCCCACTCCCCGCTGAGGCCCTGCGGCTGCACATTGCAGCCCTGGGCCCCAAGTATGCAGCCTCAGCCCCACTCAACTCCCTCCCTCCCTATGGAGGTCTCAATCCCCACCTCCTCCCCCCACTTACCTGCAGGAGCTGCTCTCCAGAATGCATGGCAGCCATGTGCATATATATGTACATGGTGCCCCCTGCCCGACCACCCTCTTCCAACGCTCCCTTCTAACCCCCTCCAGGCTGGAACTCTGCTAGCCTGCAGAGGGCTCCTCAAAACTGCGAAATCTGCAGGTTTCTCCGGTAAAATGAGAAGTCCGTGTTTGGCTCCGGTAAAAGCTAAAATCCGCGGTTTACCCTGTTTTTCCGTGGGAAATGGAAAACCCAGATCCCTGGCTAGGCAGAGGTTTGGCCCTTGCCCTAATCACATGGGCTGGCCTGGGCTCACCAAGAGTTTGGCACCTGATCCCTGGTTGGGACCTGGGCGAGCAAGCAGCCTGTGACATTGGGCTCCCAGCTGCCAACAGACCTGCCCTTCCCAGCACAACTCCAGCTCCTGCAGTGGCTGTCTGAGTTGCTGCCAGAGGAGCAGTGCATGGGTGGCACAACTGAGGTTCTGTGTGTATACATGCATGGCATCTGCTGCCCCAGATTTCCTTACTCCCATCCCTGATTTTTTCCTTCCTTTTTCTATAAATTTTGATGATTACCAACAGAAGTATTTTTTTCCATCAGCCTGTGATTGTCAGGTGAAATTCCTGTTTATCTATGTTTATCAATAAACTTGAATCCTGCCAAGCCTACTCATAAGTCATGTGCCCTAGCCCCCTAACAATTTTTGCTGCCCTCTCCAATTTATCCACATCCTTTCTTTAGTGGAGGGCTAAAAACTGGACACAGTACTCCAGATGTGGCCTCAGTACCAAATGGAGGGGAATAATTACTTCTTTAATTTGCTGCTAACACTCCTACTACTGCAGCCTACTATGCTGTTAGCTTGGCAACAAGGACACACTGTTGGCTCATATTCAGTTTATTGTCCACTGTAACCCCCAGGTCCTTTTCTGCAGAGCTGCTGCCCAGCCAGTCAGCCCCCAGCCTGTACCAGTGCATGGGATTATTCCATCCTAAGTGCAGGATTTTGCACTTGTCCTTATTGAATTTCATGACATTTCTTTTGGTCCAATGCTCCAATTTGTCTAGGTCACTTTGAATCCTAGCCCTACCCTCCAGTGCATCTACTACTCCCCCTAGCTTGGTGTCATCTGCAAACTTGCTGAGGATGCACTTTATCCTATCTTCCAGGTCATTCATGAAGATATTGAACAAAACCAGCCCCAGCCCCTGGGGCACTCTGCTTGGTACCAGCTGCAAACCAGGCATTGAGCCATTGATTACTGCCCTTTGATCCTGATGATCCAGCTAGTTTTCTATCCACCTTACAGTCCATTCATCCAACCTGGACTTTCTATGCTTAGGATTCTTCTGGAGAAGACTACCTTATTTTCCCCTCAGTGTATTTTTACTCTACAACATTTTTAGATCACACCAATAATTTATAAAGGGCTTCAGGCTGAGGATAGACAAGGCACCATGGGACTTGAGCACCAGTCCTATTTAGTATGCCTCCCATTATGCCACACATAGCTGGCAGGATGTGTTGGGATTTTGGGAATGGAGATGAGAACCCAATTGCGCCCTACTCGCCTGTGTAGGCAAATTGTTTCAAGATTCCGTCTTTATTAAACATGGCTTATTTGACAGTAAAAGTTACAGTTAATAGTTGTGCTTTATAATTAATCTATCAGGACCATTTGTTTTGCGCTCATTCCCTCTATAGTAAACAGTGAAAACTTATATAATTCCCAAATATTTCAGAACCCGTTGCCTAAAATTAGTCAGCAAAATTCATATTTTGGCACTGTAATAAAAATTCCTAGATCTTTCAAATGGGGTAAGTACCCAGAAATCTCAACAAAGTTATTTTTAGACTAAAGTTATCATGCTACTTTAGCTATTTTCACCATTAGTGGCAATGCATAGGGAGTGCATGTGCACCCCCTGAGAACGCCAGTGCACCCCGTCAGGCCATGCTCCCCATTTAGCCAGTGGGCAGGGGGGCAGGCACCGGCTGGGGAGCAGGGTTGCCAGCAAAAGCAGCCGTGTTGCTTCCAAAAGCGGTGTGGCTGCTTCTTAGTGAGTGTGATCGGGGTGGGGAACCACCCAGTCAGCAGGATTGGCTGCCAGGGACCCCTCTCCCCCCCCAGTCAGTGTGATGGGCCACCGGGGGACCCTCCCGCCGGGTCGTTGACTGGTGTTGGGGGGGGGGGGGGCGGGCGGGCG